AACTGTTTTACTTGGTACTCTGTTCAGAATATAAGCTGTTGTCTTAAGTACTTCTCCCCAGAGTGACTCTGGTAAAGAAGAATGAGCAATCATACTTCTTACCATATCCTTAAGAGTCCTGTTTTGTCTTTCTGCTACACCATTCATGCTAGATAAACTCGACATCGTGTACTGTAGGACAATACTATATTCCTCTAGGTATCTAGCAAATGATCCTGAACATTATTCACCTGAACATTATTCACCTGAACCATCATATCTATCTTATTACTCACCACCACGATCAGATCTAACAGATTTAATCTTTTTGTTGAGTTGATTCTCAACTTCAGCTTTAAAAGCTTTGGACATGTCCAGAGACTCAGATTTCTTATGAATGAGATATAGGTACCCATAACGTGAGTAATCGTCTATGAATGATATAAAATATTATTGACCATTCTAAGATGCCGTAGGGAAGGACCCACAAATATCCGTATGTATCAATTCTAAGACATCCAAAGATCTGTTAGCACCTAATCTCTTAACTTTAGTCTATTTTCCCTTGATACATTCAACACAAACGTTAAAATCTGAAAAATCAGGAGAATCCAAAATGTCATCAGACACAAGACGTTCAACTCTACCTTTTGAGATATGACCCAAGCGTTTATGCCATAATACCGCCGAATTTTTCTTATTTAATTTACGCTTAGTATCACGTGATTCCACATGCAAGGATTCATTATAAGAAGTAATTGTATCAAGCAAATATAGGTTGTCATAAAAACTCAAGTAACCAGTTCCTGCAACAATTGAATTAAAAGAAAACTGAATTGATTGTTTCCAAATGAACAAGAATAACCTGATTTGTCCAATACAGAAACTGAAATCAAATTCCATCTAAAAGACGGTACTATAAAAGTATCTTTTAAATTCAAATATGAACCACTTCCTAACAGCAACCTAAAGTGCCCAATTACTTCCACATCTACCAATTATTCATCGCCCACAAAGATGTGTCTTTCAACATCATTTGGCTTTCGGTAGCTCAGGCAACCCTGCATAGAAACACTTATGTGAGTAGTAGCACCATAGTCTAACCACCAAGTGTTTCTAGGTACTGAAGCTAAATTAACCTCAGAACAGACCAAAGTAAGAAACATACCCTTCTTAGCACGTCAGGCGTGATATTTAGTACAGTCCTTCTTTACATGTCCAGACTTGTTACAGAAGAAACAACCCTGACCATCCTTTTGTTGTTTCTTCTGAACAGGACCCTTAGCAGCATCATTATCATTCTTCCTTTTCTTGCCCTTATCCTTAGAGGCATAGGCCAAATGAGCAATTTCAGTCTTATCTTGCTTCAACCTGTCTTCTTCTTGCACACAGTATGAAATGAGCTCATTCAGAGTCCATTTCTCCTTTTGGTAGTTATAACTGACCTTAAACTGATTGAATTGTGCAGGAAGAGATAACAAAATCAGATGCACCAGTAACTCATCACAGAGATCGAGTTTGAGTGCCTTAAGTTTTGAAACAATATGAGATATTTTCATAATGTACTCCCTGATATTTCCTTTGCCCTTATACTTTATCAAAATCAAGCGAGCTAAAAGCGTGCTTGTTTCTACCTTATCATTTTTCGTAAAACGTTTCTCAATTTCAGCAAGAAAATCTTTAGCTTTAATAATCCCTTCGGATTCTATGCCCCTGAAGGCTTCCGAAACGCCGCGCTTAATGATCATGAGACTCATGCGATTTGAACGTTCCCATTTCTCATACTCCTCCTTTGTATCAGGAGTGCTATCCGCATTGAGAGGTTATGATTGTTCAGTTCTTAATGCAAAGTCTAGATCCATGCAGCCAAGAATAATTAATATGTTCTCTTTCCAAACCTTGAAATTAGTCCCATTGAGCATGAGAATTGAGTTGATGTTAGCAAAAATTATTGCAGCAGATGCATTACCTAAAATAAATAAAAGATACTCACATTATTAACTCTAATTAGTAATCAATAAAATTCAAATAATGACAAATTCTATCTCAAGATATCTGACATAACATTAATATCAAGCCTTTGGATAGTAATATTAATTTGTAAGTGATACCTTGTTGCAATGATCAAATAATGACAATAGCTCATGTCAAATAATGAAACTATCTTTGGATCGATTCATTATTCACATGTAAACCTTATAATTATCACATGTTTATCATCACAGATGTGTATGCAGTCTAAATAAATATTAACCTTCCTTTGGGCCGATTAAATATTTACATAAAACATACACACAAACATCTAACATCCCTCATGAACAATCTACACAAGAGAGGTTACTTTGGCAACTTCTTATTTCAATTAATCATTTAGAATGAGAGAACTTTAATACCTTAGTGTCATATTATTTGAATTAAATAATTGATTAACTATCAAATTTAATTCAAATTAAATAATTTAATTCAAATTAACTGAATTTCCAAAAAACTTAATTAAGGGCCTCATAGCTTAATTAATTAAATTAAGCACACTAAAAATTGGGCCCATATTTTAATAAGGCCCACCAAAATATGTTCTAATTGGTATATCCAATTAAACCATTCTTAAAGAATTTTAGACCCCTGAATGGCTTTAAGTGGGCTTGGACTGTTATCTCTCAACCCAATAATTAAATTAGCTTTAGTTGGTTAAAATCACATGTCCATAGCCTTACTGACTTTTCCAGCACCGTATTAAAGGCCCAAACAAGTGTTTTATAGGCCTACATGGAAAAAGGCACAGGAAAAAAAACATCTTACATGGGCATGTGACAACTCAACCCAGGTAAACATCTTAAGTGAGTTTGAAACTTGTGCCCTAACTCAAATGAGAAAGCTGCGGGCAAAGCTTTCTTTCACCCGACAGAAAAATAAAAAACCACAGAGAACGAACGCGAGGTTCGTTTGAGAACGAACGCAAGGTTCGTTTGAATTGAGCACGAGGCTCACCTGAGAACGAACCCAGGATTCATTTGAGAACGAACGTGGGGTTTGTTTGACTGAGCACGAGGCTAGCCTTAGAATGAACGCGGGGTTCAACTTGAGAACGTAGGGTTCGTTTGAGATCGAACCGAAGTTCGCTGAAACTTTCAAGCCCTAAAGCTCGCCTAAAATTGAGGTAACTTCCTCCTTTTGTCCTAATTTTTCGCACGTTTTCACGCATGATTTCCTACACAAACAGCCCTTTAGGGTTTCATTCTGAACCGTCGTCGCCGCCGCTTAAGCTCCCGTACCCTAGGGTTTCGAAACCCTAGGGCTTCCTGATGCCATCGCCGCTGTCTTCCTTTGACAGCGGGGCCGCCAACGAACATCGTCGGCGAGGAGTTAAGTGAACGATGACTTAATCCAACTTTCAATTTTTGGCAATTATGAACTTGATTGCACACAATTTTGATCAATGAGTTGATCCCTAATTCATGAAGTTGATGATTTTCTCATAATCTGGATCAAGAGTTTGATCCAGATTCAACAGCCGAAAGAGAAAATCAAACCAAAAAAATATTTTATTACTGTTCATGCTACAGTTCCAAAGCAAACAGAAAAAATTAAAAATTTTCATCCTACAGATCATATTTGCACAGATCCAAACGTGCATCTGATCTTAATCAAGCCAAATTAAGATAAAAAAAACCCAAATTCTTAATCTTAATCATAAATCTCAAAGAATTAAACACGGTGGCTCTGATACCACTTGTTAGATCTAAAACTGAGATCTAATCCATAAAACTATGATTAATTCAAAGAGAATAAACACAACAATGAGCGGAAGCAATACATGAATCCATGAAGAATTTGCACAGATCTGAATTAGGGTTTGATCTTCTAATCTTGAGGGTCTCTCCTTTAGAATCTCTTTAGATGAGGATTGATCTGAATTAGGGTTTGATCTTCTAATCTTGAGGGTCTCTCCTTTAGAATCTCTTTAGATGAGGATTAAGAGAATAGAGAATGTAGGGTCTCTCCTTTAGAATCTCTTTAGATGAGGATTAAGAGAATAGAGAATGTAACCCTAGATTAGGGACCATAACACCTTTTTTTATAGTTGTTGTACTTTTATAATTTGGCTCATCATCAAATTATAATTATAACCTGGTATCCGCATATTTAGTCCATGATTCATTTAACTGTCCATTAATCCAAATTTATTGATCACTTTATGCGGGTTAACCTTAATGATAGCATTATACACTAATGTACCATATATGCCCATAATTAGATTTAATCCAACAGAAAACAAATTATTTAACCTATTCATAGAATTCTTAGAGCATAGATAGTTGAACAACTCAAAAGTCTAACAACCTACAATAAGGTGCTACAAATGTTGGTTGCATAATTTCATTACTGTAATATAATATGTGACGATTTCTTTTGTTTGATTGAAACATTAGAAACAACTAAAATAGTTGTAAAATTTTCCTCAAAATAAAAAAAATACCAAACAAAACAGCTATATGCAAAATTCTAAGATTCAACAATTAGAACTCTACTAGAGAACATGGAAGTAATTACCCGATAGAACAGATTGATCAGCTTACTTTACTGCATTTGTGATGACATCAAAAGGGTTAGGCCCAGCAGCCACAAACCCAAATGATTTCCTTCATATCTGTCAACGGAAGGATCACCAGAAAAAACAATCGCAATCATAAACAAACATTCTCTCAAACAGATCGATTGATCAGCTTTCTCGTTGCTTTCGGGTTTGGTTAGTACAAGAATCTTATCAAAATCCGACCCGATTGCACCTGTAGCCGCCATTCTTATAAGGGTTTTTAACCGCCCACTATCTCCTGCGATTACATGGCACAAGGGAGTACATTTCAGTTATATCGCAATAACTAATCTCCTCAAACTGCTCCTCCTCTCTCCCTCTTATAGCGCTCCTCTTCTCTCTATCTCTCTCTCTCTTCAACTCTATCCATTATTTTCATTTTATCTGTTAGCTGTTAGATTAAGTCAATTGCACGCAGAGAGAAACTGTTGCAGACAGCATCCAGTAAAAAAGATCCTCATCTCTCTTTCAGGTACTTGCTACTTTATTCTCTGTCTCCTCTTCTTACACTCCATAAAAGCGCACACACACACACACTCTCTCTCTCTTGTCTATTCTCTCTCTAATTAACAGAACAAATATATAATCTTATTTTACTTTTACTTAGTTTTATTCATGCTCACAGTATTCATTAATCTGACTAAGCATCATGATTTCTACTTCTTCATACGTTTCTTTCATGGGCAAATTAACGCTGTTTTTCTTTCCTCTATCGCATACTCTCCTTGCCCTGCTGCATAATTTTATTTGATATCATGTTTTTCTTTGATCTCTCTGTAACTATGTGGGCAATACCCTTGGATGGATCTTCTTCACGATGACCACGTTTAATTTGTGGTTTCCCTTGATGTTTGTTAATCTATTAGCCAGCTGAAGAAAACAAAATAGGTTTGTTAATTATATTAGAAATCCGTTTTGAATGGAAATTTTTTTTTTCCTTGCTCACTTTGTAGCATTATCAGCTGCATTGGTAACACCAGTGGAATCCATACTGACTTATTGCCAACCATCATCAATTATGACAAATTTTGGAGCACTTCCACCGTTTTCTAAGCTGAAAGAAAGGGAAAAATATATTGTTAATAGATACTTATAAGATAATGTGTGCTAATATGAAAGGAAAAAAATAAGCAATTAGCTACCCAAATCCTGCCTTCCTATTTTCTTGCTTCGACGCCCCTATCCTACATTGAAGGCCGGGAGCATGTATGATGTTGAAACAATATTTTTTTTTATCATGGACTGATAATAAAAGAGAGAAGAATATATGAAATTTATCTTCAATTATCTTAAATAGGCTATAAATATTTATCCCAATTTTATTCAAATGATTATCATCTATTATTTATCTGAGAATTATTTTTAATTTTTCTTCAAACTATGTTTATATTTCATCCTAGAAAACAAGATACGTATGGTTTGTAATTTTTTATCCGCATTAAATTTTTAAAGGGAAACGAGAAAAATACCTACCCAAATTTATGTGTAATATTTTTCAGTGAAAACTTAAAAACAAAATCTACAGAATATTGTTATACGGAAGTTAAAGGAAAGAAAAACACAAAAAATGAGGGAGAGAAATCTATATTCTATAGATATATAACCGGCCAACAGCTTCGGTACTCTCAGAAAATAATTTCGGAGTACCGATGGCATATCCTGTAATTTTCAATCAAAATCGCTCTCTCTAATGTCCAAAGTTTCCGCTAACGTCCGCATTAATGGGATGAGGCAGTTAATTGAGGAGTTCCACGGGTGGAGTTGTAAATAACATGGAAAATAAACCGGATAATTAAGAACGTTTTGGCGAGAAGTTTTGTTGAATGGCATTTCCGTTTCCCATATGATTTCTTTGTGTTTTAGTTAAAATATCATATGATATTTCTCTCTTTCCTCCATATC